CTATGTACCTGACACAGATCTATATGGTTTGGTAACTCAAAATAAGCAACTATTCCTATTTAGTCTCTTTTGACAGTGCATCATCTTTTGATATCAGGGATTTTATACCGTGGCTATAGAAAAGATTAAATTGAAGTTGGTCACTGACAAAGAGATATTTATTGGTGGAACTGAACTCTTTTGTTTGGTAGTATGAATACACCCACATATATATATATATATATATATATATATATATATATAAGATCTTGATTTCACACCATCTCTTCGTATATATCTGTGCAAAGTAAATTCTGGTGTAAGTCATTACGCAATCCAAGCCCTCACCGACTTTTAACAATTGAGCCTTTCAATGATATCTACTCTAATCATCGGATTCAGTCGCACGCAAGACGACAGATGATGTCACGCAAAACCTATGACCAACGTGGGAGTTATTTCATAATTTTCTACTCAATTTTGCTTCCAAACTCGCAATGAAAGGGAATGTCTGTGCCTGTGCATCGAGTGTCAGGAAAATCCGCATTATTAAACGTCTAGAATACATGAAATGCTGTCTAGTCAAATCATCGAACTGTAATTAATTGTATATAAATTATGCAGACTGTTTGCTGATCGCACGCGTGTAAGTGAAGTAATGCGATTACGCAAAAGCATGCCTCAGGGGAATTAACGCTGAAATCAAACAAAGTACAAATTTAGTAAAAAAGAAAATATCATTTTCTAGCAGTACATGAGAGATGAACAAAAAACGAAAGAAGAGAAGAAAAATATCGGTATGTACAAACTTTCGCTCACCCGATATCTCGACTAACCACAAAAACAAGTAACTACCTGATTGGATGAATCGCTGGAATGACCGGGCCCCGCAAGGGTGGATCCGGGATAGGAACCAGTGATGGCCGACGAACCAGAAGCCATATCCGTCGAAGATGTCAGACCTCGAGTATCAGTCATCCCAGCAGGTTCGATATCTCCGGAACCGGAACCCTCTCCGGGCAAGTTGTGCTGTTTCTCCGATCCGGAAAGCCCCCACCCCTCACCACGTAAATATACACACGGTGGTGGACAGAAGAATCTGTAAAATTGTTAGAAACAAATGTTTGAAGAGCGATACGAATAGAAATTGTGATTGAGCACCTGTATTGATATCCTCTATAGTGTGAAAATTCATATCACACCAGATGTGTGAAACGAGCGACACATAATCAGTACAGAATTCGCAATACATGACCGTTGATTGACTATAGTTTCTTCCACGTATGAACAGACAGTGATCACAAGGATCCACACTGACTCAGGAATAGACAGGTAGGTATGTGTGCATATCTCTCTGCCGTCACCGCCGCCGCACAACCGGAAGCTTCATGCAGAAGTATACAAAGTGCACATGAAATTCACTGACTTGTTTGATCATCGTGATTGTACAAAGGGAACAACTATTGGACACCGGTACCCTGTAGTCTCCAAGCTGTGCTCCATCGGGTTGAATTCACTAGCCGATTGGGGTCGTACAATATCGGGCTCTCTCGTTCCCTCGGACATGAAGGCAAATCAGTGAACTCAAGTCACGGGGCAATGCGTGTAAATGCGGATTACCACATTGGATTTTCTGATCCCAACAAGTTTGATCAGACTAATTTGGACAAAAGGTTGAAAACGGTTGACACTGTTTATGCGATCTGAACCACAGGCCTTCAAAGACACTACACTTGCCCCAACTGGAGCAGTATGTCAATCGGAACAAGTCCCCCAACCCCGGGGATGGTAGATGAGTCCCGTCGTAACTATGGTATTTACAGGACATGGGATAAAACAAACAAATATATTGATTGATCATGCTGGTCGTGCCCATGTCACCACTCTGAAGGACCATTACGTGATGAATTTCATCGTTCACAAAATAAAGGAAACAAGAAGTGAAAACCCCAGGTGTATTTTGGAGCAGTTTCAAATCTGTTGCATCTCATCGGTAGTGCAAATTTATCGACCAAACTGAGAATCCAATCCGGAAGCCCATACCTAGAACGCCTGCATGAACTCGTGCTGTCGATGAAACTGGACAAGGTCGAGCCGGTGCTCCTGAGCCCTTCGGTGCACATTTTCTTTTCCAATTATGTAAAGAAATTTATCATATAATCGAATTAAATTCACCACTATTTTCATAAAATAAGTAGTCGGTTTGAGGATGTTTCTCACCCGGGCGACGAACAAAGTGAAATGTTTGCAAAGATGAGTCGCGCTACATCAGGCCAACAAACAAATGAAAAACGGCCTGGTCAGCCACCTGGTTGTCCGGTGAGTAGTTTGCTTGCATCCTGTCTGTGAGGTCCTGGGTTTGCTCTTTGGCTCAGCCGATGCACCTGCACTGCTAGTGTTCACCCAACCAGGCGGTAACAACTTTCCCGTGCACCCCAATTTCAGTTCATATTTATTTTGTTCTATCTACGACGAAATTTACCATGCCATCTTCCACAACTCCCTAGTAGTGAGTAGGTGTGTGTTTAGAAAAGCACACTAACTTTGTCATCATAGACTCAAGTGGTAACGCAAACTCGAAGCGTTTTGTTT